ATTGAAAAAACAATGCAGATGAATTTGGTAGATTTTTGTGCAGACTTTTTATTCGTTTTTTTTTTTAACTGTTTCAATGACAATATAATTAATAGAAACATTTTGACTTGTTTGTTGATGTTTTTAATTAATCAAATTACAAATTAATTTACTTAAAGTAATTACGCAAAAAAAAAAAAAAAAAGACATTAAAAATGTGTTATGACAAGTTTTAAAACAAAATTCATCGTTTCAAGTTTAACGATCACATGCTTTAATATAGTTATAAAAATATGAATAACCTTTGATCATTAAATCACGCTCAAATATTTAACAGCATAGTATCAGTATAAAAATATAATATAAAGCAATATATGTAATACTGTAATGTTTCCATATATAATTTACTTTTTTTTTTAATAAAGCATATTAAGAAATACTATTAAAGGATAGTATTTTGTTGAGTACAAAATCGTTAAAATAATCATTTTCATTACGTTTTGGCAAGACCGTAACTGTTAGAAAAAATATTTTAAAAAAATAGAAATTCAATGTTAAACAATAAATGAATAAAGCTTGTCTAGTATAAAAAAATAAAAAATATAGATTCTATTCCTTTAAAAAAATCACGAGAGCCGAGGGCCGCTCAATTTTTACGGCTCCAGCTCCACCAAAAAACAGCAGCTCCACGGTTCCGGCTTGGCTTTGCAAGCCTGCTGATAACATCAGAATAAGTTCAACAGTCCTTGAAAAACAAATAACTATTGTTACGCATATGCAATCTCTATCAACTTATCAGTCAAACCAATTATTAAAGAAATTTTAATTAGCACATTTCTTAGTTACAAAAGGAAAGGGTTTAGTTTTTACTCTGCGTTGGCACGCTTAGAAAAAGAAGTTCATAAAGTTGATTTGGGAGCTACTTAAGTAATTCTGGATGCGCTGAAATTGTAAAATACTTAAGTAAAAGTATTTTGCTAAATGATATAACCGAACCACTGAATGAAAACCGTATATCTTATTATGGAGTAATGAGTGATGGTAGCAGCAGTGCTAAGTCAAAGGATAAAAAAGAGTTGTTTGTAATTAAAACGGCTGCTACCGGTGTCCCAAAATTTTCAGTTATGAGTCAGGAAGTAGTAGCTGATGCCGATGCAGAAGGGTTCAAAACAGCTTTAGAAAACTCAATTCGCAAGTTACATTTAAATAGGCAGCGTGCCGACAAAGAGATAGGACTATGTACTGATGGGGCCCCAGTTAATATTAAGATGTACCGACTTATAAAAGAAGAAATAGAAGATCATTACTAACTAATTTTGTGTCCTAGCCATAAAATTGAACTTATCTTGCATGATGCATTTACAGGATTGCAAATTAATTGTGATGTTGAAAAAGATTGCACAAACATTTACTACTTTTTTAAACAAGTAAATTTAAAATGGCATTTGTTTAAACAACAACCACATTCATGAACATTAGTTTAGTATAAGAGACCAACGGGAACAAGATGGATTGAGCATCAACTTAATGCGCTTAACTTTACAATCAGAAATCTTCCAATATTTTTGGGCTTTGCAAACTAGCAAATTTTAAATCCATATAACAAACAAATGAAATCTGCAAAAAGTATACTGCAGGGCTATTTGAAAGATAATTTGAATATCTTAAAGATTATTTTTAATTGTATAAAAATAGATATTTTAAAAAGACTCGAACCAGTAAGTAAAATTCTGCAAGATTCGGAACTAATTCTTCCACAGCTTTTGACTATAATATCTTCATGTGCTAAAACCATTAAAAAACTCTCTTAACTGTTAGCTCGCGAAAAAGAAAAAGTATTTAAAAAATCAGACATATCTCCAACACTTTGCAAATTTTTGGAAGATGTGGTCATTGAGCCTGACATAAATTTTGAAGTATGAAAAACAAGAGCAAAAGACTGCTCCACTAAAAATCAAGCAAAGTATTCATATTATGGCTATTTATTGCAAGGGCTTTAGATGATGGTCTACTTAAATGTGCAAATTTTTTTACTGGCATTTTGAAAAAATTAGACGAGTCACTTTGTGATAGGTTTCAATCTGTTACTGAAAATCCGCTACTTAAAGCTTTAGCATCTTTTCTAGACACAAAGTCATACATATTAGCGGATCTGATAAAATTCTTAACTTTGTTAACACTATTGTTGATATGTTCAAATCTATCTTGTTAGCAAACAAATGTGATTTAAAGAAACTACCAAGTGAAGTTAAAATATTATATGAGCACATCAAGCACTTTTTAGCTCATAAAAGTCCTCCAAAACTTTGGCATTTTTATTTAAGTATAAGCATTTTAAACATTTTACTGCTGAAATTTGCATTGTGTTACCTATAAGTAATGCGGAGTCAGAGCATGTATTCTCTTTTCTATGGAAAGTATTTTTTAAAACTCACCAATCATTATCTAATCAAACCTTAGAAGATATTTTTTGACTCAGATGCGATAGAGACTTTTCTGAAAGCTGCTATAAATGCGCCATTGAAATGTTTTTAACAGAGTATCCTGATGGTGAAGTCAGAAAACGAGTTCGTCGACCAGACGGTCATTTTTATTCAAAAAAATGTGCTTCAAACAATTCTAGTCAGAAAATAATAACACAATCGTTAGAAAACATAGCTTCATCCGAAGAAGAATAATTGATTGAAGACATTGACATTAGTTTGTTCTCTGACGAAGAATGGTCATCATCATCCGACGAAGATACTTTTTTATGAAATATAGATTTTGATGGTTATAAATTTATTTTGTTATTTTGTTATAAGTTTTACTGTGAAAAATGAGTGTGGCAATTTTTTGCCACACTCATTTTTCTTAATTCCGAGAGTTGCATATGGCAATGCTGCCCTAAAAGTGATAGAGGTTGGCTTGAAATTTCCTACCTGGTTTTTATGTTTAATGGTAACTCCATTGTGTCAAATTTTTTTTGCCTCCCTGATGCTGGCCTCTAACAGTTTGAGGTCAGCAATTTAATACCAAACTCATTTTTCCTAATTCTGAGGGCTGAGATAAGTAAACACAAACTAAAAAAAAAAAAAAACTTTAAAAAAGATAAACAATACATTTTCATTAAGTCAATCAATAAAGTATATAAGTTTAAGTAAGATAACAATCATATAAAAAATTTTGAATGTGCAAACTTTTTTGCTCTTTTAGCTTATCTTTAGTTTTATTACATGTTGGCGGCATCACACATTTTTGAGTTTTTATTTTTTTTCTTGAGGAAAAAAAATTAACAAATAGAAATTTTCGGAGCACTTAGGAACAGTCACAGTAAAAGAATAAGACTTAATTGAATGTGTGAATAACACAAGAATGAATTTTAGTAAATAGCACGCTAGATCTTTAGAGCAGCGCCTATTATAGTATTTATAGAAAAGAGAAAGAAAATGGAAAGAAAAGCAACATTAAGACAATGTGAAAATGGTTGAAGGTTGGCTTTCTTTGAATATGGTTCACCCTCACATTTCATAAAATACTTAAACCTACCCCTTTTATGCATATTTGGATATGGAACAGAATAGAAAAAAATTTCATACAATAATTGGATCATTTTTAAATTTTAAAAGATGAGATTTGAATTCTATACAATTGATTTTCTATATTTTTAATTATTGAGCAATCAACAAGAATACTACTCTTTAGAGAAAAAGTTTTTCATTCAAATTCATTATTTTCTTCTTACATCATGAACTTTGTCAATAGTATTAACAAATATAGTGTGTGGTAAAGACCCAAAATCATATGAACATTATGTATATTACATATTACAATTTACCTGAAAATATATTTTTAAACAAAAGAAACTTTTTTTTTAATGTTTCTTTAAGTCATTTTATAAATATAAAACTTTTGCCTACTTTTACCGAGTTTTTGACTTAAGGAAATATTGAAGGAACAGAGTTTGGGACAAGTTTGTTTATTTTCTTTACCTTTGATGTCACCATACATTCTGACATTCCAATCGATTTTTTAAAACAAGAATCTTAGAAGTGTAATGTACAAATGAAAATTGTTTTCGACAAGTGGTCTCTTCCTATTGTGGTTTTCTATGCAACTCCACATATAGGATTTATTGGCAATATATAAAACAAAACATTTGGTGATGGTTTTGATTTAGCACTAAAGCAAACAATTGCAGGACATATTGCCATTTTCAAAATAAACATTTAAAAAGATCAAGTTATTTCAAATAGAACCAATTTTTTGGTACAGTTCAATTTATTGCCAATATACAATTCTAATATTTCAATCTATTGCAAATATATATATCAACAATTATTTATACAATATTAACAGATATAAAATTTGACAGGTACTTTAATTATTTAAAATTAATTAATTATTAATTAATTATAATTAAAAATTAATTTAAAAAAATATTAATTAATTTTTGATTGCAAACCTAGAGAAAGTAAGAAATATAACAACATTTATAAACATGACTTAAGTTATTTAAAAGAACTTTTTTGTATTAACGTCACTTATTATGCCATATTTTAAAAAAACAATTTTGTAATTACTTAAAAAAAATTTTGTTTTGGAAAGTTTAATTAACTAGAAACTTATTTTTAAAGATCTAAACAAACTTGTAACAGCACTTGGAAATCCCTTGGAAGTGTGATCCCCAGCAATTTTTTGATTTACAAGTTTTTTTTAATGCCTTTAACTTAACTTATGATTAAATAATTAACAAAATTTCTAAACGAAAAAAAAATTCATTCTTACCCCTTTAGATTATTATCTAATTTTTTTTATTTTAAAACTATTAATTTTATATAATTTTAGTTATTCAAAAACTCTTTTAAAACTTCTGTTAAAGAACCTGTCATTTTCGATCTATTGCATATACCCACTCTAAAGTAACAACAGTGGCAACTGTGAATATATAAGTGTGAGTATTAAATTACATGTTCAGTTTGTGGAACCCCATAAAACAAAATAATAGACGAGAGAAATTAGAAATCATAAATTAAAATTACCTCTCCAACAGCTGCAGCCAAAGCAAGGCGCTGAACACTTGTTAAACAAATGGGTAAAACCTTTGAAAACTTTGATTCCAAACCAAAAAATATTGCAGTAAACACTTCAGAACTTGTTGACAAAGCTAATATAAAAAATTACTTTTTTACAATTAAAACAAAGTTAACACTATTTTATTGCTTATGTATGTACAAAAATTCTAGAAGTATAGTTGTACTGTAATTATATAATTATAGATTGTATTTATTAGAAATAAAATAATATATTTATAAAATGTATGTATTATAAATAAGATATATTTACAAAAATTACAAAACCTTACAGCTTATAATGTCATCACTTGATGATAGCATCATACGAAGGCGAACAATTCCAATATCCAATGCCTTAAAAATATAGAAAACAAACATATTCAAAAATTATAATAAATAACTTCAGTAAAGAAAACAAAAACACAGTCAGCATCCAGTCTGGTATCCAATACAGTATATGCATATATGGGTATTAATATGCATAAAATTTGACAACTGGCAAAGAATATTATTTTACACAATCAAAGCTCTAAATAATTGATATAGCAACTTAAAATGTAAAAAAGTAATAAAACTTTATTAGATAAAGTCTAAAGGCTGTATATAAAATCTGAAATATAATATTATAACATAAGTATAAATTATTTATGTTATTACTCTAATAAAATGTATGCAACTATATGTGGTACACAATATGTTAATTTTAACCCTAACCCTCAAATTGATGACCAAAAAAATGACAATATGTCCAGTAATCTAGAGACACTCACAGTTTGCTTGGCATAAAAAAAAACCTGGTTACACTGTCCAAGAGAAAAAATTGAGTTTGAAGTTAGATGGTCTCTGCAACAGTTTCAACATAAAAAATATGACATTGAATAAAATGATGGGTAAATACCTATTTATGTTTCATTTTATGATATAAATGTGATTTTTCATAGATTTTATATGTTTTTGTTAAAATAGAACCATTTTTGAGGTTTTTGTTCAAAATGTTTAGTTCTATATGAGGCTCAAACATACCAAGTAGAAAGAAAAACTTTATTTGCCATTTTTAGCGCTATCAGTTTCTATCAAAATAATATAAATAGCATCACAACTTTTAAAACTGTATAAGGACATAAAGTATTCAAAGGTCTTTCAGCAGAAAAAGAAATGAACCAATAGCCTTTTTATTTGGTTGATTTATGGGGCTTCAAAGTGAGGCAACTAAAGGAACTGTTTTTATTGTTTTTAAAGAAATTTTTCTGAAATCTTTCAGCCTTTGATAATTTTTGTGACTGTTATTGTATTTTTTGCTTAACAAAGTCATAAAAATACATAAATAAGGGCAACCAAGTTTTACAGTTCTGAGTATAATAAATTTTTACTATATTGAGACTTCTTAAAATAGATACTTTTGGTATATACTTAGTATACACCTAAAACAATTTTAAAGTTTCTCAAATCAAATACTTCTCAAAACTTAAATAGCTCCCTACTTTAGAAAAGCAAGATTTTCACAATAAACAAATCAAATTTTTAGATTTCCTAACCTTGATGTTCCTGATGATAAAGTTTGGTTTACTGGTAACTATGGTAATTTTAAGTTTGGCAAATTGGTTTCATTTAAAACCCACCACTACTTAAAATCTGAGATGTGCCATAACCAGTTTATGTCAAGTTCCCAATTCTGGTACCCAGCACAAGGTCCATATTGAGGTCACAAATTCAAATTACACAAACTAATGTGTAAACTCAATGTCCGTAAATATTCTTTCTCCATTAGGTTTGGTAATATTTGATATAACTTGCCGTCTGACGTTGTTAATGCCAAAAATATTAAGAACTTTAAAATAATATTTAACTTGAAAAATTCTCTTGTGAAAAAATTCTCTTGTGAAAAATATCTTTCGCACAATAAATAGAAGCTATTCAAATACAATAATTTTCTTTCTGCAATATATTCTGATTGTTTTGCAAAAATACGTTTTTTAAAATATTTTAAGTGAGAGACATCTATATTGAGTAAATAGGGCTTTGTGGTTATCGACTCCGTAACACTCTTAGATTTATATCAAAAACTTTATTGGCTGCAGTTTAAACTGAAAGCAAAACTGTTAATAATATTTCAACACAATTTAAAGTACCACTTAAAAAAATAGTTACAGGACTTAAGGTTATTTTTTATTCAAAAAGATACTCTGTGCCGGGTACTGCAACAAAATGGATGATTCTGGGTACACGGTAAAACAGCTGATATACTGGGTCCCGGGGTCTGAACTTGGTACTTGGCATATTACTACTTAAAATTACTTTGAATGAGTTTTTAGTGTAACTTTCGCAAAATCAATTTTAAAAAATTATAAAAACTCTTAAAAAAATGTTAAAATTTCACTGCAATACTTATTTTTTAATTGTGTAAATTAATAGAAACGTTTTCATCGCCTTTTTGAAAGAAGTTTGGAAGCTTTTAATTCATTTTATTTTAAACTAGAAGTTCTGATGAATTCTTATTAGTAGACTTGTTTAAGTATTTGAAGAAGGTTACAAACTTTTGTTATAACAAAAGTTTGTAACCTTCTGCAAATACTTAATAATAACAAAAATGGTTTTATGAGATTATTTATCATAATTTATTAGAAAAACAAGTTGCTGGTAAATTCACTGTCTTGATGAGATTTATATCCTTCACATAACATCCTGATCAGCATAGCATATCTGCATAACTTGTGGGTAGGGGGCATACCATAATCTTTAGTAACTACTATAATCTTTAGTTGGATTATCTGCTATCAACTCATTAATGAACAAGTAGCTAATGATAGATAAATAATCAAAAAGTTGATAAATAATCAAAAAGTAGTAGGTTGATAAATAATCAAAAAGTAGTAGGTGATGTTGATAAATAATCAAAATTTGAGTTTTCTAGAACTAAATACTTAAGAATTAGCTTAAGAACATAAAGTTACAAGAATAATACAATTTTTGTAAAATTGATTACTAGCATTAACTGCTGTGGAGTTTAATAAACTAATTTACAAAATAATTTTGAGCAACATGTTGTAGATAATGACAGAGTTTGTCAGTCAAGAATTAAGAGGTCATATGTCCACATTTTATTTTCATACATTATATATTATAATTATAGTCATTTTGTGTTCGTAGTCAAATAAAAAGATAATTGCTCCATTATTTTTTCTACTGAAAACCTGTTGAATACTCTATGTCTTTATGGAGTTTTAAAAGTTGTGATGCTATTTGTATCATTATCATATCAAACTGACATTGCTGAAAATGGCGTATAAAGTTTTGTTTTCTAGTTGGTATGTTTGGGCCTCAAATATGTGGTAGTGGTGTAGTGGTAGAGCATTTGCCTCATAAGCAATAGGTACCAAGTTTGATCCCCAACATGTCCCTGGCAGTACCGCACTTAATTTGTTTCTCTGCACAGCAGCCTTGTACGTCAAGGTTCATGTTTTAGAGTCATAGAGTTGCGAGAGGGTTGTAACCTCACTTATTATAGCTCCCGGCAAAAAAATGTGTTTTGTTTTAAATTGCAACAAAACATTTTCGTTCACTTGTTCAACTTTTATGAAAAAATGCTTTGTTTTAGTAGTCTTTTTTTTTAATTATTCTATCAAGTGTTTAAAGTAAAACATTCTTTTTGCTATTGTTATTTTAATTTAAATAGCAAAAAAATAATAATTTTTTAATTTGCACAAGAAGGTAAATTAAAATTGGAAAAAAGGATTTTGAACAAAAACCCAAAAGATGGTGTGTATTTTAAAAAAAAACAAAATCTATGAAAAATTTATATCAATAAATGGAACACAGATAGGTATTTACCCATCATTTTACTCCAACTACTTACTTCAAATTTACTTTAAACTGTTTACTTCAAATTTACTTCAAACTCAATTTTCTCTCTAACAGTGTAACCAGATTTAAATTTTTATACCAAATAAACCATGAGAATCTTTAGATTACTGGACATATTGTCATTATTTTGGTCAAATTAAGGGTTAGGGCCGAAATTGGCAAAAAGTGGGTAGTGATGTGGTCATTTTTTGGACAAGAAACTTTCTCTTTAAATTTTTCTCTATTTCAAGTTTAATGTTGAATTCTATACCATGGCCCTGGCAGTATTGTACTGTATTGGTCCCTTTAGTCACAGTTTGGTTTTGGCTTGTCTTGGGTACACTAGACAAATATACAGCTTTGTCAGGTTTTAAGAAATATTCATAAGAAAGTCAAACCATGTAGGTACTTGCTGTATTGAACATCCATTGCCTCATGTATGTTCTTATAGACTTTTGGCTAAACCCCTCCCCATACTTACATATGTACTCTATGAATGTCCCCTAAAACTATTTTAGAATATCAACACTCTTTTCAAAATTGCCTATAAATTTGGCTTACTTGCTGATTTAATTGAAATATATAGAAGCATTTTCTTTTTTACCAAACCTTTTTTGGGTTTTATGTCAGAGTTTTTCTTTTCCTAGTTAAGTTCCTTTACCATAGTAAAGAAATCTAATATGTCTTACAGGGTTCCCACTATAAAAACTAAGGCTAAAATTAAGGATTTTAAGGAGATTTAAGGAGATATTTTCCTAATATTTAAGGAGATTTGGTCGCGAATGACATTTGTTTGAAAGAAAAAGTAAGGATAATTAAGGAGAAAACGATTACATTAAAAACGTTATCTTATTTTTTTCAATACACTTTAAATATAAACAGAGAGAATATTATTACTATATATATATATATATATATATATATATATATATATATATATATATATATATATATATATATATATATATATATATATATATATATATATATATATATATATATATATATATATATATATATATATATATATATATATATATATATATATATATATATATATATATATATATATATATATAACAAAAATATATATATATAACAAAAATATATATATATAATCAAAAATCTATATATATATATATAATCAAAAATCTATATATAATCTTCTTTATCAACAAGTATAATCCATTCACTTTAAAAAATTTTTATAGATAAATATAAAAAAATAAGAAAGAGAAATTAAGGAGAGCAGTCAAATACTAACTTTATTTTAAGGTTATTTAAGGACATTTAAGGAGGTTTTTATTTTTTAAGGATAATTAAGGCTTTTAAGGAAGTGTGGGAATCCTGTCTTATTTCACCATCTAATTTAGAATACAGCATATTTGGCATTAGAAAGTGCACAAAATAATATCAAAACATTTTTTCAGTATTTCAAGTCTTATAACTTTATACATTAAAAAAATATACATTAAAAAAATTTAACCATACACAAGCCTTCCCAGGAGATGCATGCAATTAAATGCAAATAATTTTTTTTTTTGACAACTTAGCCGCGGCTCCTTGCATGTTTTAAGTTTGAGCATTTAAAAAATGCGCTGAATAAACAAATGTTAACTTAAATTAAATTTAAAAATAGACAAACTATAAACTGGAAGAGAAATTAAAACTAAAAAATAAAATTATACAAAACTAAAGTAAAAGACTAAAAATCTAAATGAATAATAAAATGAATAAAATATAAACTAGAAAAAAAAAGCAAAAATTAATATATGGTTATAATTTTATTTAAAATTGTTTCACTACAAAGAATCAAAGTTCTAAAGTTATTTAATCCAACATTATATTTAGAATAATATGTTTACTATATTATAACGTTTTATATTAAATATAATATCTTATAATATAGTAAATTTTAATTTCCCAAAGATACTTTGAAACTTAATTATTATTATCTAAAAATTTGAAATTTTGATACTTTCTAATGTCTACAAAGCAAATTAAAAATTAAAAAAAAATTAGAAGCCTCAACCAATGTTGATAACAGTCGCGCTGCAAAAATGATACAAATAATCAACTTAAGCACTACATCAATGCAGCATTTTTATTAGCTTAAAATTATGAGCTTTAAACTATTATGTGAAACACTTTTAAATAAATTAAGTTAGAGCTATTAATTGAGATGCTAACAAAATTTTAAAATGTATTTATTTTATACTTTTGTTTTCTCTGGTATATCCTTTATTTATTTTATCATTCATTTAGTTTGTTTCTCTTTTCAGTTTATGGTTTGTCTATTTTTAATCTTCTTAAATTTTTGAAAAACACACAAATTGCTATTATATGCAAAAAAAACTGTGGCCAAGTTATCGAAAAAAAAAAAGATGAGTGTGATTGCATGCATCTCCTGTGAAGGCTTGATATATGCACATTATAACCATCAAAAAACGCAATTCCAAAATTTTTTTTTAATATATTGTTAGGAAAAATTAGAATCAAGATTAATCAAGATTTGATTTAAAGCTAAAAATAACTTAAATAACTCACGCTTTGACTACCCCAGACCATTATAAAATTATAAATTTCATGACTTTTCAACGGATTTGTCTTATCTATAATGAACCTTATTCCTTATTTTATTTTAATTTTTAGAACACGAACTGCTTACAAAGACAATTTGAAAAAAATTCAATTTTTTTAATTTAAATTTAATTTTTAAAACACGAACTGATTAAAAAAATTTAATTTTTAAAACACGAACTGCTTAAAAAGACAAGTTGAAAAAAAAAAACTACTTAAAAAGACAATTGATTTAATATATTGTAACCATTAACTCCAATAATAAAACAATAACAATAAATTCTTACCTCTTTGATATTTGGATACTTTTTTCGGCATTCTCCATGTATATTTTTAAAGTCAATGAGTAGATCCTCCACTAACTTTTTTGCAGAAGCTGAATTGCTCATGATGTTTAACTTCTCATATTTTAAAACATTAAACCATTCAGAAGAATACTAAGAAGAAACCTCCATCTAACTCATTTGTTATGATCTTACAACAACTTCTTTTTATAATAATAAAATAATAAAAAGTGCAAAAAAGTATAAAAATAATAAAAGTAACAATTGTTAATATTGAAACATTGTAATTTTAATCCAAATGCTATTACACGTTTATTAGATATTTATTACATATTTAAGGTTTAAAATATTTTCAAAGTGTTCATGCAATATTATCACAACATACAACTAAATATTATCACAAATGTTGTTTTAATTAAGTTAAAAGTTTATTAAATTTCTAACAATATTATATTTTTATACTGTTTTCACAACATTTAATCAAATATTTAGACAAAATATTAGAAGCATTTAGAAAGAAACAACCTTAATAATAATGCATAAAAATTTTATTGACAAATTTATCATAAATTAGGATAAATCAAAATTTGACAATCTTAATGATTTGACGGTCTCAAAGAAAAATATATATTCTTATTAAAAACATTTAAAAAATTATTATTTTTAAAAAAGAATTCTTTTTGTTATGTTTTAAATTTTGTTTTTGTATGGAAAATAATTATTATATAAAATATGTGAAAAAGTAAAGTTAACTCACGAAAAATAACTACTCTTGTATATAAAGTAATATCTTTTTGAACTTTATCATATTTAATGACTCCAATGTATTACATGCTATTTAACTCCAAACAGAGAATTTACAGAGATTGATCCCTATACTCTGTAAATTAAAATATAAAAAAAGATTTTATTTTGTTTGAAATCTATAAAAAAAATTTTTACAACTTATTCAGGAGAAATATTTTGACTCTTTTCTTCTATTTCAGCTATGCGCTTCTCTGCTTCTTTAGTTGCCCAGTCTAATACATTATCATCTGGGCGATAGTAACTCCCAATCAAATATGTCATTATTATAATAGCCCATCCTGGATACCATATCAGTTCCCATGTTTCTCGTTTCCTTTTTTCTCCAGGTTTTAATGGTTTTTGATTAAACAAAAATCCATTAGGAGGTTCTCTATATTTTGTAAAAATACTATCATTACGGATACCATGTATTCTTCCAAGTTTTTTCAGCCGATTTAACAACATTATTCTTTTCCAAAGCATTTCTTCATATAATCTAAATGTTATTGTTTTGATATATCAAAAATATGCTATGATAATATATATATATATATATATATATATATACTATATATATATATATATATATATATATATATATATATATATATATATATATATATATATATATATATATATATATATACATACATATATATATATATATATTTATATATATATATACATATATATATATATATATATATATATATATATATATATATATATATATATATATATATATATAATATATATATATATATATATAAATATATATATATATATATAAATATATATATATATATATATATAAATATATATATACATATATATATATATATATATACATACATATATATATATATATATATATATATATATATATATATATATATATATATATATATATATATATATATATATATATATATATATATATATATATATATATATATATATATATATATATATATGTATATATATATAACAAGTATCTTCGGCATCTGTTAGTTTTATAAGTTTGATAACACATCGTAAGAAGGTTGGTGTCATCTTACACAATATTAACTAATATGTAACAGAAAAAAATAATAATATAAAAATAACAAAAATTTTCTTCAGTACAAATGTATCATTTAAAACTTCTGAAAATCATATTCTGAGTTTATAAACATGATCAATTAATTGATATAACACTGCTAACCCTAAAATGTTTAGAGGGTTTAGAAAAGGTTTATAATAAGGTAAACAACAAAATGATGGATCAGTTTACCCAAGAAGAAAAAACGATAACAATGTTTTAAGATAGATGATACAATTATCAGGGCCATTCTGAAGAGGTCTCTCATGCAGAGGTGTCGTATGCGCTTCTAGACAACTAGAGAAACCGAAAAAAAAAAAAATTGCAAAAAAGAAATGAGTTTTTACATGAGTATACAGAAGGTGACAGAAAAAAAGGTCCTCAATATTTGACATTTGCCAACTATGCTTCAAAACTTGCCAACTGAAATGCTAAATGTACAAATGTGCTAACTCAAATGCATATATAAAAGCTTTGATAGGGAGGGGGGACATACCTACACGTTCAGGATAGCCCTGACAATTATTGCTCACGGTACATATGATTGACTTATATCTAACTTATATGCATAACTGATTGTACATCAAATAAATAAAAAATCAAATATTGTACTGAACTCATTTGTAATGTCATTAAAGATTCTCACTTGTAATGTTATTAAAGATCTTAAGGAAACATACAAAAATCCTTTTAACAAATGGGTGTTCTGCACATTATTTGAATCTTTAAAAAAAGGAAGTAACATACCCAGATGTCATCAAAACAAGGTTGAAATGCAAAATTAATTTAATACTTATGGATTATTAATTTTAAGTATAAAAAATATATAAAAGTGTAAAATTAACTATAAAATTTTTTCTTTAAGGGATGGTTGTGTAAAAAATGACAGAGCCAATGACAGGGTGGGGTGGGGGGGAGGCATGTGGCACATGCCCCCCTCCTCCTGCTTTTTTATTAAAGGACTTTCTTTTTTTTTTTTAAGAAAACTCTAGAGAAAGAGAAGTCTTTTTTTAAATTGAAGATTGTGCCTCTCCACTTTGAAACTTGTATCAACAGCTGTGTCGGCTCATGCTTCAACTACCAAAAGATAAAACTCTAAAAACGAGTTCCAGCAGGTATTATTTATTGCCAGAGAAAGAAGAAATCACACACACACACACAAATATATATTTATATATATATATATATATATATATATATATATATATATATATATATATATATATATATATATATATATATATATATATATATATATATATATATATATATATATATATATATATATATATATATATATATATATATATATATATATATATATATATATATATATATATATATAGTCAATGTAGCAACACTCCTTTGTAGCAGCAGGCTATAAGATAGTTGATGTAGCAGCACTTTCTTGTAGCAGCAGGCTTTAAGATAGTTGATGTAGCAGCACTCCCTTGTAGCAGCAGGCTATAAGATAATGTAGATGTAGCAACACTCTGTGCATGTTTTAAAAATATGTTTAAAAAAAACAAAAACATAAACACTATTAAACTTTTTTATTGTTATTATGGCAGTTTTTTAAGAAACAATAAAACTTTATGTACTTCCACATTATTTTAATTGTTTTAATTTTTTGATCACAATAAAATGTAGCTTAATTGTTGAAGTTGCTTAAATGTTGTTTAAAGAGACTTTTTTTACCATAAGTCTCTTTCAACTACGATATAAGGAGATATTTATATATATCCAGTCCAGTCGGAATCACATGACTATATCTCAAAAAATAAAAGTAAAAGTCAAAAGACTTCTGCAAAACATAAGTCTTTTAGGTGGTTTTACTTTTTTTTATCATACTTTTAAATATCTTTTGAAATAATATGATACCTTTCATTGCTGTCTACATATTATTTTGGCTATTTAAGGGTATAAAAAGTACTGATATTTTGATATTTATTTACAAATACTAAATAAAGATATAAATTAAAAGTATCCAACCAGTAATAAAGTGTGCTGAACAAATATAAACATTAGAAAATTTAGGAGCCCATTGCTTACTAAATGCGCTACTATCTACAGCATGATTTATCGTATTCAACCACTTTTTTCAAAGTACTACATCTTTAAGAAGACTTAAATTCTAGATTTTTTTTATATTGTTAGTGCAACCTACTGCACAATAACTTTTTAGCACTAACTTAATTTTTTAAATTAACTCAGCAAACCGATACTGATTTTATAGTTTGTTTTCTGCCAATTCAAGATGGTTAATTTTAAAACAATGCTTTTTAGTGACATCACACTAACTGGATGGATATGTATATATATATTTATATATATATATATATATATATATATATATATATATATATATATATATATATATATATATATATATATATACATATATATATATATATATATATATATATATATATATATATATATATATATATATATATATATATATATATATACATATATATATATATATATATATATATATATATATATATAAAGTTTAGCTGCACAAAAAAAATTATTTAAAATGTCTGAAATGGCTATTAGTGGGCGGCTTAAATACATAGATTGAAATACTTTATAACTTAAATTGTGTGTGTGTGTGTGTTTGTGTGTGTGTGTTTGTGTGTGTGTGTGTGTGTGTGTGTGTGTGTGTGTGTGTGTGTGTGTGTGTGTGTGTGTGTGTGTGTGTGTGTGTGTGTGTGTGTGTGTGTGTGTGTGTGTGTGTGTGTGTGTGTGTGTGTGTGTGTGTGTGTTAAACGGCTTAACAATATTTTATAATTTATGTTTAGATAAAAAAAACTTTTTTTTTATTTTATTTCTTTTTTAAAAAAAAAGCATCTAGAATAGGCTTAGGCTCAGTTTTTGATTATTTCATTAATATACTCGATATTGATAAGAACTTGTTTATTTCATCAATATATTTTAAATTATACTGATCCTCTCGATCAGAGTAAAGTGTTAACAATGTCTATTATTCAAAATAACCATAATCCTAAATTTTCCATTAAATATACATAATTAGAGTTTGTAAAAGAAGCAGCTATAAAATAGCACACATCTATACAAGTTTCTACAAAACATTTTCACATTATTATACATCACAAACTATTTAAAATACAAGTACGCATTTTATTTCGTACTTAAATGCTTGAATCATAAAACAGACATGTTTATTTTTAAAATGATAGGTAGTAGTATATAAAAATAAATTGTATGTCAACAGAAAATAATTTCTGTTGTTTCACTTTTTTGTTGATATTTGTCACGGTAAATTTAGCAACATAAAATTGATTTTTAACTTCCACACATACACGCAATTAGCTGTCCTTATGATTTGTGCAAAACAATCATCGGTAGATTTAAAGCATACCGTTATCTTTTTAAGTACTCTTTTGTTTTTAATTACTACATAAAATCAAACTTTACTTTATTAAAGTATACAAGTTTTTAAACAACTTTAAATTAATAGTAAAATAATTATGAATTCTATACTACAAAAAGTTTCTGAACTTGTTCTGGGGCCAAAGAACCTTAGTCAATTCTCTCTAAACTATTTAACAAGTGTTTGACTGAGTCTTGTTTTCCTGCTTGTTGGAAAATGGCATCTGTGGTTCCAATATTCAAAAACTCTGGAGAAAATTCTGACCCTCCAATTATCGTCCGATCAGTCTTCTTTCTGTTGTTAGCAAGGTCTTTGAGTCTTTGATCAACAAATTCCTCACATCTCATCTTGAGTCAAATAAACTAGTGTCCGACAATCAATACGGTTTTCGATCCTCTCGCTCTACGGCCGACTTGCTAACTGCTGTAACTGAAAGTTTTTATCGTGCATTAGATGAAGGCGGTGAGGCTAGGGCTATTGCTCTCGACATATCTAAAGCTTTCGACAAAGTTTGGCATGCTGGTCTTCACCATAAGCTTGCTTTATATCGTGTTTCTGGGAAAGTTTTTGAGATTATCAAATCATTTATTTCTAACCGGTTTATTAAAGTCATCCTTGAAGGCCAGCACTCTTCTTTATTTCCAGAAACTTCTGGCGTTCCCCAAGGTTCCATCCTGGGCCCTGCTTTGTTTCTTATCTACATAAACAATCTTCCTGACAACCTTTCATCTAAAGTGGCTCTTATTGCTGATGACTCAACTTTATACTCCTGTTTTGACAAAAAGTCTTCTCTTTTCGATCGCCTAGAACAAGCAGTTGATCTTGAATCCGATCTCACTTCAGTAATAGATTGGGGTTCACAGTGGCTTGTGAATTTCAACTCTAAAAAAAACCCAGTTGCTAACTGCAAACAATTACCGTAATATGGTCAACATTCCTATATTAATGAATGGCAATCCTCTTACTGAGTCCTCCTCTTAACGTCTTCTTGGATTATCGCTTACTACTGACCTTTCATGGAAACCATATATACAATC